GTATGATCTGGCAATTCCACTCCTGGGTGTGCATCTGAAAAAACCCTCACTAATTTGAAAAAAATATATGCACCTCAATGTTCACAGCAGCATTATTTGCAATTGCCAAGATATGGAGGCAACCTAAGGGTCCATCAACAATGGAATACTACTAAGCCATAAAAATGAAACTTTGCCATCTGTAACAACATGGATGGACTTGGACAGCATTATGCTAAGTGAAATAAGTCAGACAGAGAAAGACACTCAATATGTGGAATCTAAGAAATACAACAAACTAGTGAATTTAACGAAAAAGAAGCAGACTCACAGATACAGAGAACAAACTAGTGTTTACCAACGGAGAGAGGGAAGTGGGGGGAGACAATATAGCAGTAGGGAATTGAGAGGTGCAAACTATTATGTATAAAATAAGCTACAAGAATATGTTGTACAACACAGGGAATACAGCCAATATCTTACAATAACTATAAATGGGTATAACCTTTAAAAATTGTGAATCACTATACTGTACACCTATAACTTATATAATATCATTCATCAACTGTAACTCAATAAAAGTTGTATCTCTAAAAAAGATTCCAATTCCAGTGTCAACTGTAGCTCCTCCTTTCTCCATCCTCTCTCCTTCACGTACCCTGCTAACGGAATCATTCATTCAAGAAATATTTTAAAGCAGTAACTGTATCAGATACTGTGCTAGACACTACTAATACAAAGACAACAGCAGCAGTGATAAAAACAAAGAGTAGTGTTTAATGAGAGGTTACTATATGCCAGATACTGTTACAAATGCTTTCACTTGAATTAACTCACTGAAGTTATCTGACTCTCTGAAGTTGGTAATACTACTATCCCTATTTAACAGACAAGGAGACCAAGGCACAGAGAGTTAAGTATCTTGCCCAAGGCCACCCACTTAGGGAGTGGTGGAGCCAGGCATGACACACTCGGGCAAGAGCCAAAGAATCCCAGCTCTTAGCCACTCACCATGCTGCTTGCAGGAGTGATTAAGAACAAATCCTTCAATTTTTTCTGCTGCAGGAGGCAGACATACAGGCTAGGTACAAATGGGACACTTCTTCACTTGGCTCCAGAACACCACACTACTCTGGCTTTCCTCTCCCTCACTGGCTGTTCCCTTAGTAATTCCTTTTCATCCCTCCAACTTGCTTACATCGCCTAGGGTCTCTTCTCTTTTCCATCTACATTCATTCCTTTGGTGTTCTTACCCAGTCATATGACTTTAAGTACCATGTGTATACTGACAATCCCAAAATTTTTACTTCCAGCCTGGACCTCTCCTGTGAACTCCTAACTTGTATATTCAGCTGTCTACTCCATGCCTCCAGTTGGATGTCACAGGCATCTCACACTTAATACCCAGGACACATAATGGATAAGCTACTAGAAGTAATAAGAGGAGTTAGCAAAGTCATCAGATGTTATAGGTCAATCTAAAATTTGATACCATTTTTTTCTATACCCATAGAAGGCAACTGGGAAAATATCATAAAAATAGATACTAGTCATGAGTCTAACTGTAAAATATCTAGAAGTTAACTTAAGAACACACAGGCTCTCTATCGGGAAAATGTTAAAATTCTAATGAAGGACATAGATGATTAGAATAAATGAAGGCATATTCTATGTTCTTAGATGAAAGGACTTAATATTTTGAAGATGTTCTCTCCAAACAAATCTATAAATCCAGTGCAATCTCAGTAAGAGTTCCAGTTGGATTTTTATGAGAAACTCAATAAACAGTGATAGGCAAAATTCTTTAGAATGAAAATATATTGAAGTCCAAGCATACTTCAGAATATGGAATATGACAGGGATGAAGAGGGGCATTTTATAGTGGTAAAGGGATTAATTCAGCAATAAGATATAATGATCCCAAATAAGTATGCACCTAATCACAAGGCCTTCAAATACATAAACTATAAACCGACGGAACTGGAAGAAGAAAATGACAGACCCAAAGGTATCCTTAGAAACTCCAACACTGCTCTCTTAGTGACTGCTAGTGCAACTAGACAGAGAATCAGTAAGTACACAGAAGATCTGAGAACACTAATCAACTTGACTTAATCCTCACTCAGAAAACACTCCACCCACAAATGCATATTTGTTTCAAGTTCACATGGAACTTTTACTAAGATAGAATACATGTCAGGTCATCAAATAAGCCTCAGTCAATTTAAAAGAATTTAAATAATGCAAAATATATTCCTTACTATAATGGAATTAAAATAAAAACCAGTAATAGAAAGATATCTAAATTCCCCACCCCAACAACAGCAACTGTTAAATTAAATAAAACTTCTAAACACCCCACAGGTCATAGAAAGAAATCACAAGGGATATTAGAAAATATTTTGAATGGAGTGAAAATGAAATACAACATACCAGAAGCAGTGGGAAGCAGTTTAAGGAGTATTAGAGGGAAATATACAGCTTAAATGCTTATATTAGAAAAAAAGAAAAGTACGAAACACATAGAGCAAGCTTCCATCTTAAAAAGCAAGAAAAAGAGTAAATTAATTAAACCCAAAATAAGTAGAAGGAAGGAAATAATAGAGTCGAGAAAAGAAGGCAATAACAGAAACATAAATCATAGGGAAAATCAGTGAAGCCAAGAGCTGGTCTTAGAAAGGATCAATAAAACTGACACACGTCTAGCTACACATCAGAATAAAAGAGAAAGGACAAATCAGCAACATCAGAAATGAAAGAGAGTACAGAGCCCACAGGAACTGAAAAGGATAAAAAAGGGAGTATTAATAACTTAATAAATTTGGTAACTCATATGAAATACACAAAAATTCCTTCCAATATACAAACTACGACAGCTCACTCAGGAAAAAACATATCCTGAATGGCCCTGTATCTAATAAGGAAACTGAGCTTATAATTAAAAAGCTTCCCACAAAGAAATGTTGGTGCCCCAGTGGCTTCACTGGCAAAACTTGCCAAACTTTTAGGAAATAAATAATATAGTTTCACAAAAACACTTCCAGAAAAAAAGAGGAGAGAATAATTCTGGATGCATTTTATGAGTCTGACATTACCCTCATACAAAAACGTGACAAAGACATCAAAAGAAAACCATAGACCAATACTCTCATGAATGTAGATGCAAAAATCCTTAAAATCTTAGTAAATCAATCCAAAATATTTGACAAGGATATTACAGCATGACCCACTGGGGTTCATCCTAGGTATGCTAACATTCTAAAATCACAATGTAATTAACCATATTAATGAGCACCCCCCTACTAAAAAAACCCAACCATACAATTATTCCAATAGCAGAAACAGTACTTTGACAAAATTCAATACTCATTCATGATAAAAAATTTTCAACAAACTAGAAATAGAAGGCAACTTCCTCAATCTGCTAAAGGGCATCCTAATGTTAACATCATACTTAACTCTGAAAGACTTAATGCTTTGCCCCTAGAACTAGGAATAGGGCAGAATGTCCACTCTTACCACTTTTATTCAACACTATACTAGAGGTCCCAGTTAGTGCAATAAGACAAGGAAAAAAAGGCATTCTAATTGGAAAAAAATAAAATTTTTTATTCACTGACAACATGATGATCTAGTAAAAAATCCTAAGGAATCTACAAAAGAAGCTACTAGAACTAGTAAGTTTAGCAAGGCTATAGGATGCAAGGTCAAAACATCAATTTTATTTCAATATACTACCAACAATAAATTCGAAATTGCTAATTAAAACAATTCCATTTATAATAGCATAAAGAAATGAAATGCTTAGGAATAAACTGAAAAAGTATGTACAGTATCTGTAGACTGAAACCAAAAGAACATTAAAAAGAGAAATTAAGGAAGACCTTAAAAGTCGACATAGACACCATGTTCATGGATTAGCACTGTTAAGATGACAATTCTTCCCAAATTGATCTATAGATTCAACATAACTTCAGTCAAAATCCCAGCAGACTTTGTTACAGTAATTGAAAAGCTGATCCTGAAATGTACACAGAAATGCTGAGGACCTACAACAGGCAGGGGCTTGACCTTCCTGGTTCACTGTGGTGTCCTCAGGGCCTAGAAAGTGCCTGGCTCGTGGGAGGCTTACAGGATAGGTACTGAATACATTAATGAACTATGACAGAATTATACAGAATAAAAGAAAATGGGCCAAACTGTTGACTGTTTTTATTTCCGGACAATGGAATAACGACTGATTTTTTAAAAAAGTCTTCACTCCAAGAGGCACTTACTACTTCTGAATTTAAAATTTTCATTTGAATAGGTAATACATGAATATGGTACAAAATTCAAAAAGTGTGAGAATATACAAAAAGTAAAATATGTCTTTCCCTTCCCCTCTGCCTCCCCAGAGGAAACAACTCTTACAGTTTCTATATATATGTATTTTCCCCTAGATTGTCATTTGTCTTCTCATTTTCTTCATCATGATTTTGCCATGCAAAATATTTAAAACAATTTCTATACATCTGCATTTTACCAATTTTTTCTTTTATGGCTTCTGGGGTTTGTCATACTGAAAGACCTTCCCTAATCTGAGGTTATTTTTAAAATTCTCTTATGACTTATTCTAGTATTTTTATGTCTTCATTTAAATTATATTAAAATATTTGACTCAACTGCAATTAATCTGAGTCTAAGGAATGAGATAGGGATCCAAGTAGGTTTTTTCCAGGATGCTAACACATGCATCTCACTGAGTTATTGAAAAGTGGGTTTTTTCCCCCACAGATATGAAATGCCTTTTTATATTAGATCAAATTTCCTTTATAGATCTGAGTACATTCCTAGACTCTATTTCTGAGCCATACCTTAAGATTTTAATTACGGTAGCTTTATATACTATGTTTTAAAATCTGGTAGCTCTAGTCTTTTCTCATTACCTTTTTCAGATTTTTCTTAACTAGTTTTGAATGTGAACTCTGGAATCAGCTTAACTAGCTTAAAAAAATCTTGTCCATACCTGTATTGAGATGATATGTAAATTACATATTAAATTAGGGAGAACCAAATTCTTTACACATTGAGTCTTCATATGAAAGACCTAGTATGCCTTTCTTTTTTATTCACATTTCTGTATACATCTCTCCGTCTTACTTAAAGGTCTCTTTATATATTGTTTTCACACCTAGTAAGTTTATTTCTCAGTACTAAGTATTTATCTTTTTCTTGTCTAATATAATTTTCACCTAATATGTTGTCTTCCTGGCAGCTTATGTATAGAAAGGCTATACATTTTCAATCAATTCTATATTAATTTTAATTAAAATTTCATATTAATGTTTGTATTAATATTACTCAATTTTCTTCTTTGTTTTCCTTTGTTCTCTAGTAATTTCTAAATATGTAACATATAATCTGCATATAATCATAACATATAATCTAACATACATAACATATAATAGTGATAACTTTACCTCTTCTTTTCCAAATTTTTATACTTTAATTTCTTGCTTAACTGTATATTGACTGGTATATCCAGAAAAATGTTAGTTACAGTGGTGATACTGAATATTCTGAATTTACTAGGAAACTTCTATCGAGTTACTCCATGAAGACATGTTAACTTAGAATGAGATTTATTTTGTCATATCACAGGTATCTAACTACTTCTATTAAAAAAAATTTAAATTAAGAATGGATGCTGCATTTTGTCAAGTGCATTTTTCACCATCTATAGTTGATCAAATGATTTTTCTCCCTTAACTATTAATATGGTAGCAACATATATATGTAAATAATATTTATAGCAATAATGATTGCTACTGAACCGTCTTTTCATTTCTGGCATGAAGCCCACTAGATAATGTTTTGCTGGTGTTGTACTGCTTGTTTCTACATTACCTTGTTTTATTTGGTTATTTATAGGTAGAACTGATTTATAGTTTCTTACTATATGTGTATGTGCCCTTTTGGATTTTGGCATCAATATCACATTCATTTCATAAAAAGATGTTTTTCTTCTCCTTCTATACTATAAAGCAGTTTAAATATCAAACATTCGTTCGAACATTAAACACTGACATTACATGAGCCTCTAATGTTTGCTGGGATGATTCGTCTGTGAAACCACATGTGCCTGGTGAATCTGGGGGAATGGGGAGGAAGCTTTTTAACTTTCTTTTCCCAAGGTAACTGACCTCCTTAAATTTCTTCTATCTTGTCTGGGGTAATTTTGAGTATTTATTATTTATTGAAAATTATCAATTTTATCCACATATATGGCTATTTGTAGAGAACTCAGTAAATTTTAATAACCACTGTGAGTGCAGTTATGTTCCCATTCTCTTATTTTATATATTTATGTTTTCTTTCTTTAAAAAATTGTGAAATAAAAGAATTAGACCACTTGGTAAGAATAGGAATGTTTACTAGCTATTTCTTGATGAGTTGAAATAAAGACTACCTCAGGGTGGGAGGGTATACAGCTCAGTGGTAGAGTACATGCCTACCATGCACAAGGCCCTGGGTTCAATCCCTAGTACTTCCATTAAAAAAATTGAAAATAATAAAGCATTTTTTAAAATTATTTAAAAAGACTACCTGAGGCATAATTCCTTTAAACTATGAAATAACAGTTACAATTATATACATGTAATTGCTTACCAACATCTGTTAATAAAAATACCTTTTTTGATCGATTTCTTGCTGCTGTTTAATGTGTTTGTTCTCAAATTCACGAATATTTTCTACACCAATTTCTTCACAGAAATGTTGAAAAATATCATCTTCAACCTTTTAAATTATTTCAAAACAAGTGGTTTAATAATTAATTTTAAGACAGTAAGTATATATATAGACAATACTTAAATCTAAGTTTTTCCCACCAAGATTTTCCCGGACTGGGCCAGAGAGTGAGCCCGACAAGCCTGGTCACTGTAATCCGGGGGGTCAGCGCCTTCTCCTTCTTTAACTTCATAAACAGTGCTTATCTATTTTCAAATTTCTTATTCTAAAAACTATGTAACAAAGCCTACAAGTGGCCTTTTAAATATTCTGGCTTTATCAAGTGTTTAATACAAAATCAGAAGTACTGCATTTATATTAGCCACACCAAAATACAACATTCTACATAAACAAATAAAATACTCTCTCTATGTGAGTAATACTATAGTCAGGTAGTATAAAACCAAGAGGACTAAAGAATAGAATTAAGACTCAAAAAGATTTGGAAAAATTAGAATGGGCCAAATCCAACAAAACAACATTTAACATTTTTAAAGCCCTGAATTTATGCACAATTATAAGAGAGACCTGTTTTAACAACAGGACATGATAAAAACTTTCAGATTTCAGTTGAATATAAATTAAATATGAATGTGATAAGATTGATGCATTAGTAAGCTATAATTTATATAAGCAGATAATCCAAACCATGGAAAGTTATAGTTGGGTGTTTAGAGTCCCATGGTACTCTGTACTGGTCATACAATATTTTTACATTATTTTTTCCTCTAGGCATTGACAAACAATAGTGTATCCAGCGGCTGGTTACTAGGACTGGTCTTAAATCCATGGTAAATGTAAATAAATAAGGAATTAGGGGTGTTTAATCTGGAAAAGAGACAATTAAGGAGCAACATAAGCATGGTTTCAAATTATATAGTAAAAGGCAGAACTAAAAGGAATGGGTGGAAGTTACTAAGTGATGGTGTGACAAACAACTTTTTAAGGATTAGAGATAAACAACAGTGGAATGAATTAAACCACAAAATTCCTGTCACTTAATAAGCAGAGGGTAGAAGATCAAATCTGTTGCCCCAGAGCCAAGCAGCTGTGCCCAGCATGTAATAAATGTTCAAAAAAAAAAATCACTGAGTGAACACACAACCTTAAAAGATGACACAAATGGCAAAGTTCTTTCCTTCCTGGTGTTAAGGGCAGTGAGAGAAAGAAAGCGGCTGAAATTTGTACAATGGACAAGGAGAGGCTGGAGAGCAGAAGAGAGTGAACTATGCCCTAGTCACTGTCTCTTGAGATGGGCAATAGCAGTTCTCAAGAAACGCAAGGAAATGAATTAGGCAAACCAATAAAACTTAGCACTTATCAGCAACGTGCTATACACCAGAACTTGACAGAACATTGTAAACTGACTATACTTCAATAAAATATATATATATATATAATAAAAATATATATATATATAAACTTAGCACTTATCAGACTTTGCTTTAGCACATTTTTGAAGAAGTCCTTAATCTGGTGTCTGGTCTAGAACTATATTCTACATGCCATTTAGTAATAAATGTATCATTCAAAACCTTATCTATCTTTCCTTGAAATTCTTCAATTCTTTTTTGCCGTTCTTTGATTCCTTCACTCAACATAGTACATTGAGACTCTATATTCAGCAGTTCACTTTGTAGCTGAGATTGTTCCTGATTACAAAAGAGAAAAAAAAAGTCTTTTTAGTACGGCTATTTTGGCTTTGTATTGTGAAGCCAAACACAGGACAGTTATCTTTCAGAATAAAAAGGGAATCCATGAGATAAGGTAAATGGGGCAGGTACGACTGGATAACAACATTAACCACCAGGAAAATAAAGTAACCTAAAGGACTGTAATATCTCAATCACAGGAAAAAGTGTAAAAATCACACGGTGCTATCTATATACAGGTAATCCCTGAAATTCTACATCCCAGTTCCAATCTCCATCAGATTTTACGCAAGCCTGTGTTACCCGGAAGAAAGCGGCCAGGCGCTTCTTTTTGATTATTTCCAGTTCGCTCTGAGAATACTTGAGTCGAGTTTGAGTCCCTTGCACTAGAGTCCGTAATTGTTTCAAGTCGGCTTCCTTGCGAAGTGCCTTCATTAAATTCTAAAAAGGAAGGGAAATACGATAACACTTCATAATGGAAAAACCTTCACTTTTCAGAGTGCTTTCATACATTCTAGCTCACTGATTTTTACATGTAACCACACCCACACTCCATCTTCCCTTCTTCTGAAAAAACATTGGGCAATTAAGTACAGAAGCCATCTGGGGTAACTAAGACGCCATGCAGCATCCTCAAAAAACTAACTCCCTAACAGGAACCAGGCAAGAAAATGAGGAGTGGGGAGTGCCTGTTCCACCCAAGGCACACACGTGGCATAGAGGAGACCACATGATACGTGTTGCCTTGCTCTGCACACATCCTCGTCTTGCCTCGTCCATTTCCTTCTCCCTTCACCTACCCTATGACTCAACCAAATTAACTCCCTAGTATACGTTCTGTATTTTTACCCCAAGTCCTTATATGAAAACATATGTACACATATTCGCCCATATATGTTGTTTTTTAGTCTTGTTTTACAAATTTAGAATCATGTTAAACATGCGTTTCTCAGTTACTCACAAAAGTCAACTGATAAAACCCTAAATTCATTCTTTTAGTGACTGCATATTATTCCACAGTGTGACTATACCAAAATTATTCAACTCTTCTCTCAATGATGGGCATTCACTGTGCTTCCAGGCTTTTGCCTCTACAGTAATCGCAATAACATACTTGTTTGTATACCCTTAAGTATTCGTGTTTTTATTCCCATGCCATAGATGCTCCAGGGTGAGATCAATAGATCAAAGGTATTCATGTTTTTATTATGCTAGTTGGTACCAACTGCCTTCCCAAAGGCTACAAATATGACTGTGTGTTTCTGTACAACTCCACCAGCATACATATTTTTCCCATCTTACTTACAGATTTGAAGTAATCTTAATTTAATTTGTGTTCCCCTAAGTTTTATATTCTATATTGAGCACTTTTTTTTGTTTACTAGCCATATGGATTTCTTCATTCGGTGAACTAGGCTAATCCTACCCTTTGCCCAGATGTTTCTATCATGTCTTTTTCATGTCAGTGTATAGAGTTCTTTGATAGTACAGGATCTACAGTTTTCATTTTAAACCTTTTTTAAAAAAATTATACAATGGCTTTTATCCTCATTTAAAAATTTTTTATTTCAAAATTTAACGTACCTGGAATTTATTTGTATGCCATTATATGGGGCACAAAATTACTTTTCCCTAGATGTGCTAATACCATTTACTAAATAATCTATCCATGTCCCACCAAACTAAAACAACATATTAGTTGTATATTGTCAAATATACTGGGCCTATTTCTGAAATTCCTATTCTTTTTCATAGATTAATGCCAATACTACATCAGCTTGGTTACAGTGGCTTTTCATAGTATTCTATATGCTGGCTAGAGAAGTTGTAACTCACTCTCTTTAACACTTATTTTTTTTTTTTACTAGTCTCAGGAAACTCTTCACTTGCAGGAATTAGAGGATCATTTTTTTTGATCCTTGGTAGTATTTTAATTAAATTTGCATTCAAGCTACATTAATCGGAGAACTTCTAACCCAAGAATATCATGTCTTTTCTTTCAGTTGTTTTATCCTTCAGAAATAATTACTGTGCCTTTATACTTATTCCTATACTTTCCCTTTTTAGATGCTTTTTGGTAGCAGAGAAAAACTAGAGTTTTATTTACGTAGCGTTCTCATTACCTTATTAAATCTAATAGTTTCTAAACTACGGTCTTATCAGCCTAAAGCTACTTTTTCTTTTTGAAAACGTATACAAATTATCTCGTTTTGTGCCTACTGTATTTAATACAACTTCCAAGACCATGTTAAATATCGGCAACAGCAGATATCTGTCCTACTTCCTGATTTTAATTAAAATAGTTAAATTTTAATGCTTCACCATTTAAGCAGTTATTTCAGTCAGTTTTGGGTAAGAGCTATATTTTATTTTACTTAGGTAATTTCCACCAATTACTCTTTTACTCAGAACTTTAGAACCAGCAGCTGAACTTTCTCAAATGCCTTTCTACATAAGATCATGCTATTGTCTCCTGCCTGTAATTTGTTAATATAATGGGCTATGTTGACTGATCACTTAATACTGAAACACCCATATATTCTTGGAACAAATCCTACTCAGCAGACGTATTGTTTTTTTTTTTTTTTGCTACACTGCTGAATTCTCTATACTGATATTTAATTTAGAAATTACACATTTATGCTCACAAAGGAAATCAGTATTTAGTTTTATTTTTGTAGTATTTTTATAATATTTGATATTAAAGTTATACTACCTTTATAAAATAAACTAAGAAGGTTTCTACTTTTTCTATGATCTAGAATGGCTAACCCAACACTAGAATTATATTAGAACTGAACTGTAAACCCATCTGGTCCCAGTCTTCTTCTTTTTTAACTGTGACAAAATACACATAAAGTAAAACTTACCATCTTTACAATTTAAGGGTACAGTTCAATAGTGTTAAGTACATTCACACTGCTGTGCAACCAACTTCCAGAACTCTTTCCCTCTTCCAAAACTGAAACTATACCCATGAAATAACTCCCCATTCCCTGATTCCCCCAGAGCCTGGCAACCATCCTTCTCTTCTGTCTATGAATTTGACTACTCTTGGGTCCTCATATAAGTAGAATATACAGTATGTCTTCTGTGACTGGCTTATTTCATGGAGCATAATAGCTTCAAGGTTCATCCATTTTTGTCCATGTGTTAGAACTTCCTCCCTTTTTAAGGCTAAATAATATTCCATTGTATGTATAGACAAAATTCTGTTTATCCATTCATCCACTAATGAATACTTGGGTGGCTTCTACTTTTTGGCTATTGTTAATAATGCTGCTATGAGTATTCTTTCAGATCCCGCTTTCAATTCCTTGGGGTATATACCCAGAAGTAGAATTGCTGGATCATACGATAATTCTGTTTAATTTCTTGAGTAGCCACCACACTGTTTTCCACAGTTGCTGCACTATTTTACATTACTATAGTTGTTTTCAATGGGAAATCATTCAACTAACAGTGGCTTAAAAGAATGTGTTTATTTTTCTCACACAAGAGCAGTCTAGGGTGATGCAGTTCCTCAACAATGGCACCTTTCAGCTTCTTAACACGATGGTTTTTATACTCAAGCTTCCTGTCTATTTGTACAAAACTACTGCTCTGTCTCCAGCTCTCCTGACTGTATTCCACTCAGGGAGAAAAAAATGCAAATTATAATACCAACATTTCCATCTATACCTCTAAAATTGTCACATGGCCACCGCTAGCTACGAGGGAACTTGGGAAGTCAAGTTGTTCTAGATTTTTATGATTCTTTAATAGAGACAGGCAAGGAAGGAAGAGGCTGTGGGTGGGGACTGGGCCAGCCAACTACACCACTGCCTGCCTCTGCTTCATTTCAATATAGTTACGTGCCTGTTAAGATTTTCTCAAAAGTATTTTAATTTTCTCATTCCTGATGTGTATGTTTGCTTCTAGCTTTTCTCTCGTTCATTAGAGTTGTACAGAGTTTATTTTATTAGTCTTTCAAAAGAACCAGCTTTTAGATTCATTTTTCCCTTTTCTATTTAGAGTTTTCTATTTGATTAACTGCAGCTTAAAAAAAATTCTGTTATAGTTTTACTTGTTTATTTTGTGGTTGTTCCAATTTCTTAAAAGTAATAAATTCCATTCTAGTTCATTTCTCTTCTTTAATAATGAAGATATTTTCCTCTTGATGTAGCTCACTGTGTCTCAAAGACTTTCTATTCATTACTTTTGAGACATCTTGTCATTTTCCTTGATTACATCTTTGATCCCAAAACTATCTACATTTCTTAATTTCTAAGTAGACAGTTTTTTTTGTCACTATTTATATTTCATTAAATTATGATCAAGGTGACCTATAAAAATCTCTGCTTTAAAAAAACTACTGAGGTTTCCACTGTGGATAAGCATTTGATCAGTTTTCAATAAGTGTTTTATGGATATTTTAAATAATCTCCCATTTATTGAGCATTTATCATTGTTTTATAACGTAGACATTAACTTAATTCTCTTAACAATGCTATGAAATAGGTACTATTATTATCCCCATTCTATTAATAATAAAATTAAAGTATAAAAGCATTTATGTAAGTTATTCAGTCACACTGCTATGAAGTGGTAGAAATAGAATCTGCATTTAATCTTATTGATTATATTACAAATTCCTCTACATTGTTTCTGTCTACTAGATTTGCCCAATTTTTTAAGAAGTACATATAGTGAAATGTTTCACTCTAGTTTCATTTTTATTAAGTATTCTTGCTTTAAATATTTAGGTGTTATGTGCTTCAAAGAGGGTTAAAATTGGAGATCTTGTTTTTTAATACATAATATCCTTCTTTATTCAATTTGTTCCGTAAATATTTATTGAAAGCTTACTATAAGTGAGGATTTTTAACCTCAAAGTTCACATTGTCTGGTATAGTCACTTGTTCTTTTTCGTTTGCATTTGCCAGTGCTCGTTCTATAATTTTCAATATTCAATTTTAAGACAATTTCTTATAAATGCCATTTAGCTGAATTTTGCTTTTTAACCTATGACGGTCTTGGTCTTTTAATGAGACACTTAAATCCACTCATGTTTACTGTAATGACTGATCAACAAAAATTTTATTTCTTCTTTTTATCTTTCATTCGTTTCATGCATTATTTTTGCTATTTGTTCCTGTGCTAATTTAGTGTACTTTTAAACACTCCATGTCTCCCCCTCACCAACATACAATTTTTAGAATATTCTTCCTCTTCTCCTCAGAGATGAGACCTTTGGAATATATTTACTTCTTTCTTCATCTCCAGTTCCTAAGTTTGCTGAGTTAGTTTAGCACTATTCACTTCCTATTATTAGGTCTGTTCTAATCCATGTGTTGCTCAGAGTACCTTCTCTAGTATTTGTGTCACATGGAGTATGTGGATGACCCTCTCTCTGAATTTGCTTATCTGCAGATCCCTAAGAGGTGAATGATGTAATACAGTACTTTCCCTCAGTTGTCTGCAGCCCTTATTCCAGTCTTACCTAGTTCTGTAGTTGATACAAGGTTGATAAGGGGTATTTTTTAAAGGAGGGGAATCCTAGGAGTTCAGGAATCACACCTAGATCTGTGTTACTGTGTGACTTTTCTCATTAAGCCTACAAGGGAACTGCGTGTGTCCTTTCAATTGGCAAATTAAGGATCCTCAGGTTAGACATTTTCTTCTGTTTTGTTTAATTATTTCCTCTCTTCTGTGTTCCTTTTCCTCCTTCTGAAACTTTTATTATTCTCACACCAACTCTCCTGAGTCTGTCTACCAAGTCTCTATTATTTTCATGATATCTTTATCTTTGTAATTTTCCCCCCTCACTGAGATGCAATTCCATTTGATCTTCCAGGTTATCAATTTGGGTCTCAATATGGCAACCCTAGCCTTCAATCTATCTATTGCATTCTATAGTTTAGAAATGTTTTTTCGTGCCAGAAAGTCTTGTGTGTGTGTGTTGGGGGGTGGTATGGGGAGGGCCAACACTATACTGCATCTCCTTAATGCTCCTTTACTGTTTTTGTTCAAGGGCTGACTGGCTGGCTCCCTGAACAGCTGAAATGCATTTATGTATTTCTTTGCCTCCTGAGGATCAGGTCTGGGTATTAACGTACAAATGGCAGCTGCCCTACAAATATGCTCTACACCCAGAGGCCAGCAATTAACAACAGAAGACTGTCAGTGCCTCTCTCTGGTCTCCCTGGCCTCTCCCAAACTCAGGAGCAGGGAGGCCACAACCTACTAACGTTTAGCTTCATGGGATTCAAGAAGACTAAGCAAATTCACATGGGACATATATTTAACCTCTCCCTAGGGTTCCCCTATGTCCTGATTCTTCCCCCAGTACTCTTCAAAGATCACAACAGAAGTTCTGCATCAGTTTTTCCCGGTGGTCTCCCCCAGAATCCAAGGCATCATTCACACCCAGCTCTCCACTAGGTTCAGGTGAGACACACAGGTAGGAGATCTGTATAAATAGGAAACTGATTCATTTCAAGTTGTTACCTTCCTACAACTTTCTCTGTGCCTAGGGCTAAATTTGTAAAACCTTTAAAAGCTGAATATTTATACACCTTAGATCAAAACATAATATGCAGTCTTATGCTTACAGAAAAAGATTAAAATTAGTTGAGTAACCTTGCCAGAATATCTCCTTGAATCAAAAACTGGTCATTTGTATACATAAAAGAAGAAAGCTAAATAGGAAAAATAAATAAATAATCTAAAAGCATTCTACTGATTTAGTATCTGTTAAAGTTGACATTTCAAGTAAGTGTGGGGGATTACAACAGTCAACAAACAATACTTTGGAAGGAAGCATTATTGAATTTCTTTTGTCATTTTAAGGAAGAATAAAGTCTTTCTGAACATGGTATTAAAATCCAGAAGTTATAAAAGATTAATACATTTGGCTATATAAAGAAAAGTTTAAAAACACATACTGTCAAAATGAATCAAATGTCAAATAGATACTGAGCAGTAAAAAGGAATAAACTTTTGATGCACACAACAACATGAATTCCAAAAGCATCAAGCTAAATGAAGAGAGCGTAACACTAAAGACTACTTGCTGTATGATTCCACTTACATGAAATTCTAAATGAGAAAAAGCTATAATGATAGAAAGTCAATTGGGCTACAAGGGTCCAGAAGGTCCAGGGGATCCAGGGGAGGGGACTGACTACAAAGGGGCACAAAGGAATTTGGGGGGTTATGGAAATGTTCTGTATCACGATTTTGGTGGTGGTTACATGACTACATACATTTACCAAACTTATTGAATTATACATTAAAATTGTTGACTATTACTGTATACAAATTATACTTCAGTATAGCCAACAAAAAGTCCAGTAGAGAATATACTTACAACATATATGACTAAGCACTTATTTGCTTATGTACAAATAATTCTTGAAGTAGGTAATAAAATAACCTAAAATCTAAAAGAAAAATGTGCACAGGAAATAAATAAGAAGTTCACAGAAGAAAAAATTACAAAGAACCAATAAAGACATGAGTAAATGCTCAACCTCAGTTATAATTTAAGAAATGGATATTCAAACAATTGGATTACTTTTTTTAAACCAGACTGGCAAAGATTAAAATATTTGCTAATATTTAGTGCTGCAATCTAAAGACATACACATTCTACTACAGGTTTCCTTTTGATGGGAATTTAGCAATATCAACATTTTAAATACACATATCCTTAGATCTAGAAATTCCACGCATAAGAAATCATCATAGAGGTACATGTAAAGATATGGTAACAACAAACAGTTCTATAGTGCTTACATTTTTGGCAGGCATTGTTTTAAGTATTTTATCTGGAATATCTGATTTAATCTTTAAAATAGCTCTAAAAGGAAATTCCTTTTATTATCCCCATTTTACAGATGGGAAACTAAGGTACAAAGGGGTTGGGTAACTTGCCCAAGGTCATACTGCTGGCAAAGTCAGGATTCAAATGCAGGCAGTGGGGCTATAAGATTTACACTCTTAGCCACTGTGTCATTCTCCGTGTCTAAAGAATGTGCAACGCTGCATTGTTTACAACGGCAAAAAACAGAATGTCCATCATTAGAAACTGGTTAAATAAACAAAAGCTATATAATGAAATACTGGGCAGGGTTCATTAGAAATAAAGTGGTTTCCTATATGTTAACATGAAAACATGTCCATGTTATGATATTAAATGACAAGGCTTATTGGAAACACTATCCATAGCAAAAGTCTGATGAAACTAATCAGAAAAGTAATACATAGGTATTTGTATGTAGAGAGAAAATTTCTGGAGGCTATGCATCAAACTGTTTAGCAAGTACCACTGAGATGTAAGCATGGGTAAGGGAAAGATTTTCATTTACTTTATTCCATTCTGAATCATTTGAATTTTTTTGAAACTATAGGCATGGTACTTTTATTATCCAAGAAATTAGCTTAAGAACACAATCTATTTAGTATGCTACAATTTTTACAACATGGATTTACCTTTAATTCTTGGATTAGCTGGGTTCTTCTGTCTCTTAAATTCTTTAACTCTTTCTCATCCCAGCATCTAGCCTTGTATTTTAAGTCACTTGACCCTCCAGAGATCACCCCAGATTTTAAAAATAATGTTCCATCAAGAGCTACTGTCTGTAAAATTAAAAAATATTTTACCTTGGAAAAATGCACATAAGGAAGATAAAACCAGAATATAATATGGCAATTTTTACAGCTGAGAATTTATAGGTGAGAAAAACCACTTACTGAACTCTACTAATAAAATAATTAGCTTATGAGGGATACTAACCAACAAACAAATTCAAATACAAAACCCTGTTTTGCTAAGGCCCAAAGCAATTCCAGGCAACAAATTAGCAGCAATTAAAAAGGTTCAAAATAAAACTGTATATTAGTTTCAAACATATCCAATATTGAGAAGCAAAACCCAATAATATCTGTATTTAATATCACACAGTTTGCATCACGTAATACTGTATTTTGAAGAATCTGACATCACATGTCAATGATATATTATGAAAACAACCTTAGTAACTTTAGGATACCAAAAATATTATGTTCTAAAATGAATATGAAACTGGGACCAATAAAAAAATTTAAATGGAATCAAAAATATAAAACAGCTTGAAGTTTACAGTCCTGTGAGTAACCATATGCTTTATGGAATAAATGAAAATACTTCATGTTTTACAAATGTCTGTAATTAAGTGGTCAAAACAGAGGAGACTGACCGAGGACTATGACCATGTAACGAGCTAATAAAAAGAAAGCCAACAAACAGGAGTCTCATTCATCTCTACTTTCAGACAAACATTCCCTGTGTTTGAGACATTCTATACTGGGGACTGGAGTGACCAAAGGTGCAGAAATATGGTACTGATCCTTAGGGAGTCATGCTAACAGTGAAAAGCAACATACTAACATACCATTAGAGCGTAAGGTGATGAGACAACAGAAACACACTCAGAATAATCTGGAAGCACAAAGCTGGGGTGCTCCAACCCAGCCCAGGAGGTCCACAAAAGACTTCCTGAGGAGATGATGGCTTTCACTGTTCTTATTAGAGGTACTAGTTAGAATTAGATTAATTATACTTAACAGAAAATGTATCTCTCTCTTGTGATTAGAGTCTGTATGGAGGTCGCATAGTTAACAAAAAACCAGACCCCTCCGACCGCACCGCTCTGCCATCCCAGCACTGGGATTACTCCTCACAGGAGACAGGCCTTGTACTTTCTGGAAGGCCTTGGGGGCTCCCTTCCCTCTCAACTGCGGGCTTAGCAATGAGTCTTCTCATCAGGTCTAAACTTTGGAAGAACCCTAGATATCTACTGGATACCTACAGCAATGGCAGGAAAACTGAACTCCTGCAGCAAGCCCTGGTCTGGAAGGCAGTTTCCCTCACTGGGAGGCCAACTGTTACGAGCTCAGTTTACTCCTCCGACCTCCCCATAAAAATGTAAAGCAGCATGGAGCCAGCTTCCCAGTCCTGGAGCGCTTTTAGCTCATGCTGTCTCTGCCCAGCTGAATCATACCTCTGGAAGGAAAGCTGCGGAACCAAGCAGGCTCCACTGCTTCTCTGCTTTTAAGCTGTTCTCAATAAAGCTTACTTTACATCTACACTGTGTCACTAGTGATGTGTGTGTCACTGTCTCTTACACAATCTTCAAAGTCATTCTGTAGTCCAAGATAACTCCTAGAGCTCTAGCTATTGTGTATTACAAGAAAGAAGAAGGAAGGGAGGGAGCAAGGCTGGTAGATGGGGCAGATTGTGGAGCTCTTTATATGTCATCACAGGAAGAATGAGAATCAAATGCAACTGAGGACTGATGGGGCTTATGGTGGGGGCGGGCGGGGGGTTAGCTCTGAATGGTTTGAGCAAACAGGAGAGAGAAGTGGGTAGATAATGAACTTTAAATAGACCACTTTGGCAACCCATCTGGAAAATGGGTTGGTCTAAGCAAAGCCAGAGGTGATGGTATGAAATAAGCCAATAATGCCTAGGGTAAAGAAAAGGAAAAATATTTGAGAAATACTTAGGAAGTATAATCAGGAAAGCTTGGGAACTAGAAAGGTTACAAGGAAATCCTTGAGGAAAACTAGAATTTCATTTGGCTAGAACAGCGGTACCAAGAATCGAGTTACGGAATACAGAACATAGATCAAGATTTAGAAAGAAGAAAATGAGTTTAGTTTTAGATATGCTGATATTACAGTGCCTGTGGGCTAAAAAGTTTTCTTATTTATTTACAATGTCTATCTTGGCTATTTCTTAAAAGAAATTAGATTCTTTTATAATTATAATAGATTATTATAATGAATGTAAATATAAAATAAGAGCTACAAAAAATAGAGATAACAAATTATAGAAGGTGAAAAAAGAACAAAGTATAAGTAATTTAGACTATTATGAGAAATCACTGAATTCAATCAAATAAATAGGAAAAAGAAAAATTATTCAATATATGATGTTTTGACAAGTAATTAACCATTTAGGAGGAAACAGCTAACTAATACCTGCAGCTAATGACAAACATCAAAATAAATTCTAGATTAAAATTAAAACACGGAAGTGATACTGTATTTTAAAAAGTGAAGAAAAGTTAACATATACTTGATCTCATAGTAAAGACTCAAATATACATATACGAATAGTTACAAAGGATAAGAGTGATATATGGCATACACACCATAACACTCACTAGATCTTTCCAGGGTATGGTTGCTAGATTTAGCAAACAGAAATATAGGTTGTCCAATTAAATTTGAACTTCACATAAAAAACAAGTAACTTTGTTAATATATGTACAAATGTTTTATTCTGACAACTATTTCTAGGGGACAAGACAGGGATGGTTTTTATTTTCCTTTTTTGTAGCTCTTA